TCTGTGCGGTACGTGCCAGCCAAAGTACTGTCTGATACTTTAACTCCCACTAAAAGATAATTAAAAGCATTATTGTTCCAATTCACATAGGACGTAACTGGAATGTCTAGTCCTACTCCAGACTTGAATGTCTCTACCTATACATCAACTAGATGTCCTTGCTTTCCTAGATTGTTAACTATTTGCATTGCTTCACTTAGGGTTTTTTATCGTTTAATATCTTATTTATCAGAGAAAAGCGGGGTCCAGTTAGTTAAGGTTTCAGTTGTACATGCAACACGACTTCCTTAGCTTGTCATGCATCAAACTGTTATGGCTGGCAATTGTTTTAAAAAAAATTCATTTTGTTATGAACTAGCCTGTTTTCAACTGGGCTGTTCAGAGATGGATTGCTTTCTGGAGTTTTTGACAGGTGTAATTGTTAAGGCGTCATCTGTTCTTGTTTGCACAAAATACATTTTAGCCAACTGTAGTACTTGCCCGCTAATCTTTCTCACATCATTCCATTCTTTGCTTGCCACTAGACAAATCCCCTGTTATTTGACCAGATGGTGGAAAATCCATTCTCATGATAAGTTGCTTCTAGTTTGCATTTAGATTACCTGCAAAAATGGAACAATTTACTACTCTGCCTCTAACCATCTCTTTCCTCCTTTTTTCCCTTAGTTTGACTTCTTGTAACTAATTATTTAAATTCTGCCCTGTGAGTTAAAATTAGTCATAGCTTACACGTTCCACATGTATGTAAATGCACTTAAGTTCCATTTCAAGTTATATGATGAATCCATCTAGAGTTTAGTGACAAGGATGGGAAGATGAGCTGTCAGATTTGCAAATACAGCAGTTTATAATCCTTTCACATCTGAGGTGATCCTATTTGAACTTTTAGGGAAAGTATACAGCCTCTAAAATGCTAAGTTCAGGTGTGAGATTGTACCTAGCATCATTGTCTCATGGCAGAAACAAGGAAAGGAAGAAACAAATACTTGGTGAAACACGTTTAATGTCGGACTTACAGGCATACTGTGTGCTATGCTTTTAGCTACATTGGAAAATAAACTTCTGTACTAAAGATTTATTTATAGCCTAAAACTTACTTTTGCCTTTGTTATCTTAAAGTGGCAACTTTAAAAACTTATAGAAGAGTAGGTATATTTGGTTTTTCAAACCTGTGAAAACTCAGCTAAAATTGGGGAAAGCTAACCACTGCAAATTGATCAGTCTCAAATACTCCTCAGTGCTCTAATTTTTAATACTGAGAAAAATACAAGAAATCAATTTGAAAGCATAAAATAGAACAAGAATATATAGTACCCTGAGTAAATAGGCAATATACAGTTTTATCTTGTACTAAATCAATTTTGTATGTGGAACCTGAGAGAGATACTCTGCTAACATAATGTACTAAAAGAAGTTAGCAAAATTAATTCTGTGAATATTCTCTATTCTTTAGAGAGGAAAAAATAGACTGATTGTCTTTTAGATTGTAACCAGTAATTTTTCCTAGTTGGTTTTGTTTTGTTTTTCTTCCCAGGAAGAAATGCTGAATTAACTGTTCTATGAGGTAGAACATTAATTTTTGACTCACAGCCTCATAGTTATCACATGGTAATTAATTGTAAATGTAAATCTATTCAATGGCAGGTAACATACGTGGGGCATAGGAGAGAGGGACGTGCGTGATAGTGTTAGGCAACTTCTATCTAAATACATAGTCTTTTCAGCATGGAAGCCAATTTGTGGGAGGTATGTTTCCCATGCTAAAATGAAACTTAACAACAAGGGACTAACACTGTATGGAAAAACACAGGATTTATTTTTTTTTTTTAATGCATTGCTATAGGTGGTAGCAGTATATCTAAAAACCTGGTGTGCACTTTGAGATGTAGTACATGACGTTTCAGGACTGTTTGGTTTTTCAAGTAAAGCATGGTAGGCCCCATTCTGTGCTAATTTAGATGCTGCGCTGTCCCACTCAAGTCAGTGAGATTTTAAGTGATTCCCGTTGGCTCACTGTTTTGGGTTATATATTTTTTTCTTATTATTAATGTTGCAACTGAGGGGGAATGGAGAAGAGTAAAATGACTCTGTAGATATAATTATTAGCAAACAATTATGTAAGTGCTGGCTCTAAAATATCCACAGAATATTGAGTCTTGAAGTGACACCCAGCACTACAGAGTGTAAAGGAAGGTAGTGTGTCTCTGAGTAGGATCCACAGCAGCTACTGTCTTGTATATAAAGCCTTATAAATGAAAAAATATAGATCCATATTCTAATCACAGAATTGTAGGGGTTGGAAGGGACCTCCAGAGATCCGAGTCCAACCCCCTGCCAAAGCAGGTTTCTAATCTCTTTCCTGTCTTTGATTTTGGCACGTACAGTTGGCTAGACATAAAGTAGGACAGTGAGTCATAGTCCAAAGAACTGCTTGAATCATAGAATGTTTGAGGTTGAAAGGGACCTTGGGAGATCATCTCATCCAAACCCTCTGGATTTAAGAAGCAGGGTTACCTACAGCAGGCTGCCCAGGACCATATCAAGATTGCTTTTCTCTGTCTCCATGAGTGAAGATTCCCCAGTCCCTCTGGGCAATCTGTTCCAGTGCTCAGTCACCCTCGCGATGAAGAAGTTGATGCTCACTTGGAACCTGGTTTCTCAGTTTGTGCCTCTCGTTTCCATAGGGAAGAGCAAGGGCTCCAAGCTTGGCATATCAGATACTTTTTTAGAACTTATTTCTTCGCATGGATGCTCAAACCCACATCTTTGATGTTCCAAAAAAATGCCACAAGTACTTCAGGGTAAAGGTTTTTTTTGATTTAATCATATTCTACTCCTCTTGCTTAACTATTGCAGTAATATTAATAATCAGTATTACTATTTGTGGTTCATTTGGCCAGACAACTGGTGGAAAAAAGAGTACAATCCTAAAGCCCTGTGATGAGGGCACTCATCTGGGAATGATTGTGATTCATATGTAGTCCTTGCAAAAGACAATTCTGACAGACTTCTAATATAACAGGTTCTCACTGCCTCAGTCTTTTTGAACCAATGAATCCTTATTTATTTATTTGTTTTTAGGTAGTATTGTTTTAACAGAAGTCAATATGAACCTTGTTTCAGAACAGTTATTACTATGGAGCCTGTGGTATTCTTTCTAGCTGTGGAGGAATGCATGTTTGAACCTCCACTGAGAGGCAAGGGTGAGATTGGCTCTTCCATGTCTTTGCTGAGGCTTTAGATATCCAGCTCTGTATACATACAGGTACCCATTATAGCCTTGGTTGGAAAAAAAAAAAAAAAAAAAAAAAGGGGAAAAAAAAAAGGAAAAAAGAAAAGAAAGGACTGGAGAGATAAGCGTTATGGATGGAGCAGGGGTTAGCTACTGTGATTGTGTGCTGAAAACTTTAAGACTTGAATTCCCTTAGATGTAGGCATTTCTGGGTGACCTGAAGTGGGGTGTTTGAGGTGTTTGCATTTCTTTTTCTCTAGCTTGCACAGCTTTCTACAGATAGTGCTTGTATTGTCAATCCCATTTTGGGATACTCAACTTTCCTCATACGCTGTGTATGCACATCTTATTTAAAAGCCTTGACTATCACAGTTATTCTCTGGTGATGACTTTATGGGAGAATTCAACAATACCCTGATCTGGAGATGGTTTATGCAGTATCTTCTCCACACTGCTGTCTTCTCCCTTCTGCAAGGGGGGTCCCAATGAAAGAAAATCAGGCACATGTACCAAAATCAGTGCTGAGGAGTGCTCATGCAGGGCCTGTAACTGATGTTCAGTCAGAACCCAGGGGACCAGGACTGTGGAGATATTAAGAGGTGTACTCTTGCTGTGTTAGTGCAAGTTTATCATGGATGTCCCTCAGTTTCTAGAGCAGATAATTTTCCACTTTATCGCAGAGCTCCTTGCTGGAGTATTATCCTTTTTTTTTTTTTTTTTTTTTTTCTCCTCATGCCCCCTTAATCAAATCACTGTTAAAACACCTGTGATTTTAAAAAACTAGTTCAGAGAAATGTAGACTTGTTAGTTATAAAAGCATATACTGACAAGAATATTTATTTAAAATATATTTTCAGTCTAAAATTCAACATTTGAAAAATATGTGAACTTCACAATTTTATGCCCTAGCTTGCTTAACTGTTATTATATTAAAAGAGACAAACATATTAATTTGTGAGAGGTAAAAATAAGCATATAAAACATGTTTATATCCCAGAGAAGAGGGGAAGGGAAAAAAAAAAAAAAAAAAGGAAATTGGTGTGTACTGTTTTGTGTGCAATTCCCAAGTATATTTTAGAAATAACTTTGAATTTTTATAGCCAAATTATATTTTCTACTAGGAGGGAGTTGGGGACGGATGAATAATAGAATGACTGACAAATCTTTTAGAGACTGATTTTACAAGATGCTGCGCACCTCCTGATTGCTGCCAATCACTTCAATTTTTTTCAGTTGATCCGAGAACATATGGCATTATTCAGATGGTGCTGAGCACCTTCAGTCACAGTCCTCATAATGCCACAACATCCTCAACATCCTCATACTCTGCTAATGTGTGAATTGCTGCTGATGTTTTAAATTGGAGGGTTATTTGATCTTTGTCTGGATAAACTCCTAGCTGATATAAATGGACGTCTTGCCTGAGGATGGACTGCAATAGTGAACAATAAATAATCAATTTTATAAGTACCATATTTTACGCAAGCTATGTAAAGTATCAGTTTGGCTCATAAAATTCTTTACCACTTTTATTTCGTGGGGGGAAAAAAATACTGTTCTTGTGAAGAACTGAAGTTCAGTTTACTCTCAGTGCAAATTTCTAAAAGTGGAACCTCTGGATGTTACGTGCACAAGGCAGTTGATTTAAAGAGATCAGAAAGATGTTTAAAAATATATATAAATCAATTTCAACATACTGATTGTGCTGCATTACAGTTACCTGTAGAGAATCTCTAGTCATGTCTATCTGTTTTTGATGCCTCTACAGAATAACTGTCCAGCATCCTCTGCCCAACCAATCAGAATGTAGGAAAATCTACAGATATGACGGAATCTACTGTGAATCTACCTACCAGAAGTATGTTGAAATCTGTGTGAGTCTTGCCTCTAGCTCGTGCATTTAGTGCTCGTGCTCTCCCGCTATTCACAAATTACATGTTGAAACGTTATACCTCTGCTTACACGTAAACTTTCTAAAGCAGGGACAGAAATATGTTGCTTAATTCTTTGGGATTGTGTTCTAAAAGCTAAAAAGCAAATAAGAGACCCTATGACTTTGCTAAATCTCTTAGGTATGCTTTTGTACAGTGCAATAAACAAAAAGGTATACACTAGAAAATCTAGGCAAAATGTATTGCACAGGTGGTTCACATCTTAGGGATTTGAAAGGTGTGTTATGTATAAATTAGCTGTCACTTTTTTTCAGTCGTGTAATGGAATGATGAGCTGTAATTTGCATAATCCTTTAAGAAGTCAAATTATACTGTCATGTAGCAGACTTAACATGCTAGCTAGGATTTCTTAGCTTTGCAGCTAATTAGTATGTACCTTACAGGACAGTTAAATTGAAGTTGAGTCCTCTTGCTTTGCAGTCATTTGCCTTTGTCCATCGCCCTAACAGAGCCTGCTTTTGTGTGCAACTGAAGGTTGTTACCAGTACTTCTGACAAAAGTGCTGCTGCTGTGGGCAGGCAACTGTAACATGGTTAACTTATGTTACTGCTGCAATCTATCAGTAAAGTTCTATTTTATTGTAGTAAGCATTTAATAATGCAATTTTAAATAGAATTCAAAGGTATATATTTGACAGCTATATTATAGATGATTTTGTGTTAATATATTGCAAAGGCATTATGAACTTTCTGCAGCCTTGCTGGATTTTCAAACTGATTTTTGTCATTTAGCATTTATTTTTCATATTCCAATTTTATTTTCTGTATCAGTATTATTGCTGTCTCGTGTATAAGAGATGTCATTTAAAAAAAAAAAATCCTTAGCTTCTAAACATCAGTTGTACTTATGCTGGAACAAAATGTTTCTTGGGCAAGGCTGTCATTATATTTTTCGGTCATATTCTTTCATCCATTCTTCTTATTCTATAACTTGTTGCTTGTTTTTGGTGATTTTTTCTTTTAAATGTGTTTTTAAGTAACAGCTATCACCATATAAAAAAAATAACTGGTAGTTTTGAGTAGATGAAAAGTATCATTTTGGTTTACAGAATTAAGAAGAAAAGAGAAATCTAGATTTATCATTATAATTCTAGCATTACTTTAACTTGGTGATTGAAAATAGAAATCTGGCCATTGGCTTGGCTTTAAAACAACAAAAAAAAACCCTGTGAGTAGCTACTTTTGATCTGAGGTATTATTTACAATTTGTATTTATTGATATGTATTTCTTCTACTTTTTGTTGGTTTTTCTATTTCACTCTGCCAGCAATCAGCATACAGGCTGATTTAAGCATTTTAGATCTGATGTGATTGTAAATGCCAGCATACAACTTTTGTGGCTTTAATTCTCTTGTAACATCACTATTCATGAAAATATATTCCTTTGTTTAAGTGTTTAAAGCATATTTGTTGTGCACTGTCTCAGTTTTTAGAGTAACTTCAAGATCTTGGAACTTTGTTGAAATAAGAGAAAATTGGCACAGTTTCTTATGAATGCTAAATATGCTGATGCTGATTATCTTAATGTTTGAAATGAAATAGGCTTAACAGTCAGTATAGTCAAAACAGCTATCAGTGCTGACCAAAAATAAGATGGTAGAAGTTCAATTACATGTCGGTACACAGTTGTACAGGCAAATTTGGCCAAGAAAAAAAGGCCAAAAATCAGATGACGAATCAGTGTTATAATTGACATCTGTATTATCATTACCTGAAATTGCTTACCTTATGAATTGGTTGAAGTTTTATTTCCAAGTCTACTTGTAGAAAGCAGACTGGTTCTGAAAACTAATGCCTGTCTTCCAATAGCAGAGAGTGGGTTTTTAGATTAGTGAAATATTCCCTTGGTGGTACTTCAGTGCTATTTAAGTTCTCTGAAGCATTCTTTTTATCTTCCTCCTGATGGATGTTTTTGGTACTTTACCCCATGGTGATATATTTTCAGTGATATGAGTTTTAAAAACAAGTTGTTAAAAACTTCCCACGAAATTACAACCATAACAAAATCAAGCTGTATTAATGGCATTTTTTGAGGCTTAAACTTCTGGATGAACTCTTGCTAATAGATGACTTTACATGAAATAACATGCACATGAACTACTCTGCTGGAGAAGGGACTGCCATTTGGTAGCCATTAGTGATAGCTTCAAACTAGTTGCTTGGGGCACTTAATGGTGGGAAGCACCGCAAGACAGCAGAAGGCTGTGTGGTGCGCAAATCCTACTAGGGTATCTGGCTGTTGGCACAGGCAACAGCTGGGTTCAGTAGTCATTTAGTGCTCCATTGCTGTCCATACCAGATTTAGAAACTATAGAATCACATACCTGATAGAAGTGTAGTCATATCTGTAGTAACTAGTAGTTTGTATTCCTTCATAAATACTTGACAGTCCTTTTTATATTCTGAAGTTTTTCAGAGTTGAGTTAATTTTCACTTTTCACAATTCAGATACTCTTGTTATGACCATTTACTAGACTTGAGCCTGTGCACTTTGCACATGCTGAGAATATTCAATTTCTAGAAGCTTGTTTTGTTTTTAAGTAGCAGGACTTTATTTTATTTTTTTATTTTCTATGATTGAGGTTCTTCTCCCTGAATTTTTTTCACCAATTCCATTGAAAATGCCTGTAAACATAATACTTTTCCCCCCTGCTCTGAATTTATGCTGAACTATCTACCAATTAAAGGTATTTTGTTATAGCTACTTAGCAACTGAAATTGAGATATTCTTATCCTTTCCATTATAATCTGGCAGGATTATGCCCTGGCCTTCTAACTCAGAAATATTTTTTCAGAAAACAGTTGGTGAAGTACAGAGTTGGACTTGATGATCTTTATAGGGTACCTTCCAACTTAAGATATTAAGTCAATATCTTTTAATTCTCTTATAAAAAAAAAGAAAAAGAAAGAAAGGAAAAAAAGAGGAGGGAGTTGGTCCAATTATGATATTTTGTCTGTTTTATATATATTAAATATTTTAATAGAAATCACTCTAACCTGTTTATGATCCACGTACAATCAAGTCTTATTAATGCCACTAGAACACTTTTCCCCCTACTGTCAATCAATTCAGTTGCCATGGGCCTATGCTATTTGAGGTTGCTGGACATGTAAATATGCTTAAGATAAGATCAAAAGCTTGAAAACAATTACAGTTTGTTTCTGCATTTGCTAGCGATAATGACCGACACAACGTAATTGTTCTAAAAAGACTTTACTGTTGTACCTTTTGAAGCAAATTGTATGTCTTAAGCTATGGAAGTAAAACCAGAGACATGTTGGTTACTGACTTTCAGTTTGACTGACCATCACTTCCTGAATACTTTTTTTCTTCTTTTTCCTCCACCTGTCCCCATCGCTGTAGCCAGGAATTTCAAGAGTTCTTTTGTGGAGTCAAACAAAACAAACAATGAAAAGAAATATTTTCTTCTCAATTCTAGTTCACTATAAGCAAGCTGCCAAGGCTTTTCCCACTTGCCCAGGTTGAAAATTCTTTCTTTTGTTTGCTCAGACACCTATGTTTTGCACACTTGTTCACCTTTATGGAGTGTCAAATAGTGAACAAAGCCTGTGTAGAAGATCGCCAGAGATGGCATAGCTCCTGCACGTGCTCCAGTTATATTTGTTGCTGAATTACAAGGAATAGTGTCTTGTCAAGAAAAGTGGTATTTTTTTCTTGCCTGTCTTGGGAGCCTTGGTTGTGTACAAGCAGTGGATATCTCAGTTATTTCTTCCCCTTGAAGTTATTCCTTTCATAAAGTGGTTCTTCACAGTATCATCTGGATTGTGAAGGGGAAACTCTCAGTTTAATGGCTCTTGTGTGCTATCTCCAAGGGTGGAAGAATAATTTCTTCATTTTTTCCTGCCCATATTAAGCAGACATAAGTTTCATGTCTGTTTTCAGGTGGAGTATAGAGAACAGGAAAGAGTTCTGCAGTAAAGTATTTCTTCTGAAATCAAGAGCATGGAATAAATATGCAAGGAAAACACCTCACTTACTTAAGTCCAGAAATACAGCTATGGCTTTATTAGCTCTTTTTCCCCTCATTTCTCTGCAATGATCATAGAACAGAAGGCCTATTGATTTCGGTGTAAGAAGTGGAGCAGTTTGTCCTGGAAGGTGTAGCTGGTCATATATGCATTACTATACTGAGCCTGTGAATGATCGGAACATCCAGACTTACCAGACTAAAATAAGCTCCCCTTAGACTGTATGATAGCTCAAAAAATATAAATATTTGTACAACGCGAGAAGGAGGCAGAAAGCTAAACCATTCTTGTCTGTCTCTAAAGTTTAAATTAAGGCTTATTTATCAAATGGACAAACCAAAAACAATTGCTTTGCATATACAAGAAATCTCATGGCCCTGCTTACACATCACAAGAGGTCACAGTGGACCAAATCACTCTCCCAGGGTTTCTTGTGATGAAAGATTAAAGGATTTCTTGGGTTGTCGAGGTGGTTTATAATGGTCATCCTACCCTTAGCATGGTGAGAGCAGACAAAGTAGAGGAGAGCTAATAGTTCTGAATGGAGAACTACAACTTTACGGGGCTGGGCTTAAAACCCCCTGCTGGCTCCTCTGCAGCTGTTCTTGCTGGTATGGTGATTGGGATGGCACAGAGAAGTTGATCAGGGCTGAGAGATTGCTACCTTTTTACGTCTTTCTATTCCTTAGAGGTAGTGCTGCACATAAATTGACTCAGGCATAAAACTTTTAATTATTCTTGTTTATGTGACGTTGGATGGATTGGGCTAGGTTTGAAACAATTCTTTTAGCTGCAGGAAAAAAAAAAAAGGAGCATATAGGAGAACAAGACTGTCATTCTATCTAATGCTGTAGGGTATTAGAGTATACGAGTTACTTCCCCCTTCAGCATGCCATGTATAAGTGTTAATCTAGCAA